AAATCATCTAATATTTGTTTTAAGATTATACCTACAACCTTCAAAACTACAACAATGGTGGATATAGGTTCAATCATCAAAACAGAAAAAATACACATGTATAAAGCACATAAAATTTATCATATAATTATCATATAACAACCATCATAGCACCCCAATTCAAAATTATGAATCAAGATACCCAACCCTAAGGAGGATAAGGGTCCTCCATTCTAAACTTCTACTATACCCTTTACTATTAGAACAAGTTCTCACCCTTACCTGATCTCCAACAAAAGCCTTTGATCTTCTTCTTTAACCTTAAGCTTTCGCTCTCCCTCTTTGCCTCTTTTGCTCCAATCTCACGTACTGCCAAAATCTCCTCAAAAACCTAGCTTTTCTCCCAACTTTTAAAATAAATAGTAACCTCCTTACTATTGCTTAACTATTATTTTTACCCAATTTAACTCTAGCTTCCCTCTTCTTACCACAAACTCTCCTCAAATCCCACAATTGGCTCAAACTTCTATTTTCTCCAATTTCTTATTTCATCAATAATAATAAATAAAATTCTAATTATTATAATCATTTTCTAATTTACTCTACCATTTCACCGCACCCTATTATTTCTACCACACACCAACAACACATATTCAAATAATTTATTTTAAATTGAATCGACATCTAATAATTAAATAAAACACCAAAAATCATCATAAATCACCAGTAATTCAAAATAACAATTAATAAAATTAGGGTGTTACAGAAAGCCAGTTCACCGAGCTACTGACTGCAGGAGCAAAAATCTAACTTGCTTTAATTATGGAGAGCATGGTCATATTAGTACTCAGTGTGAGAAACCTAAGAAGGCTCAGTCTAGAGGGAAAGTTTTTCCTTTGAATGGAACAGAAAATACTACATTTGATAACCTTATTTAAGGTACATGCTTTATTAATAGTATTCTTTTGATTACTATTATTTATACGGGAGCGACGCATTTGTTTATGTCTGTTGAATGTGGGTCAAGATTGAATTTAGAAGTGTCTATTATGAGTGGTAGCATGGCTATTAATACTCCAGCTAATGGTTCAATGACTACTTCGTTGGTGTGTTTGAATTGTCCTTTGACAATTTATGGTAGAGACTTTGGATTTGACTTGGTTTGTTTGTCTCTAAGTCAACTTGATGTTATTCTGAAAATGAATTGGTTGGAGTTCAACCATGTGCATATCAATTGTTTTGATAAACCAGTGAGGTTTCTTGAATTCGAATAGAGTACAAAGTCAAGTTTCATGACCGCAAGGCAAGTAGAGATGTCCTTGAGAGAGAGAGAGAGAGAGAGAGAGAGAGAGAGAGAGAGAGAGAGAGAGAGAGAGAGAGTTCTCAAGTGTTCATGGTGTTCGCGTCCTTGAGTGGGGGAAGCGATATAATGATTATGGATCTACCTGTGCTGTGTGAGTTTCCTGAAGTGTTCCCAGATGACATTAGTGATTTACCTCCAGAGCGCAAAGTTGAGTTCGTTATAGACTTAATACATGATACTAGTTATGTGTTGATGGCTCTTAATATGAAGTCTTCTTTAGAGCTGAGTGAGCTGAAGAAATAATTAAAGGATCAACTTGAAAAGAAGTTTGTTCGACCGGGTATTTCACTGTGGGAAGCGCCAGAGCTGTTAGTTTATTCGTCGCCCGCCTTTTATGGATGTCACATACATACTTCTTTGTAATCCAAATAGGGTTTTAATATTAGTTCGGTGTTCGTAGGTGTTTTTATCAAACAATCACGATTTAGTTCACCTGTGAGATTAGCTCAAAAATTTTTAAAAGCAATATGTGCAAAATAAATGTACAAGAAAAAGTGTTTATGAATTGAATGTGAATGTTTGTACGAAGATAAAATAGACACAAATTTTAATGGTGAAAAAGCTTGAATCAATATAATAAAAGAAAAGTGCAATAAATGATATTAAATAGAAAAAGTAATAAATAATAATTAAAGGAAAAAATTTTCAATTAAGGAAACATGAAAATAATGAAAGAAAGGGACGCAGACTCATACATGTTCCTCATTAACTATTTTGCTCTTTGACTCGGGTACTCCAGTTTTATAGAGAAATATATGAATTTTACGACCTTGATTATAATGCATGGGTCGACTATTTATACTAAACAAAACATAACTGTCTCCGACAATTTGTTCCTAAGAAGTAGACACATATCAAGAACATGCGCTTTAGTCTTCTGAAGCACCGTCACGTTGTCAGAACTTGCAAACTATTGAAAACCATTATCCCACATTCATAACTGCTCCAAATAGATAATTGTCATCTTATCGAAGGTAGTTTATGAAAAACTCTAGCGTTGAGACAATTTCTTTCAAGTCTTTGGATTCTAAAATATCCTAAACTTTTGACGTCTGTCGAACGCTTCGACCTCGACATGGTGTCGATAGATCGACTAGATCTGTTCTTACGATTCTTCCAAACCATGTCCAGTACGATAGTCGACATACTCTCGTCGATGTGGTTTGTTCCTGCAAAGCGTGTCAATAAATACTAACACTTCGTATTTCTTCAACGTAGCACTTTGTTTACTTTTCTTCAACTAGAAATTACACGTTAACAATCGGCCTCATTTCTTGTATTTGATACATTTAATACAAACCTGGAAAGTTTGGACCCAATTTATGTCTTTATAGAAGGAATCAATGATTAACACTTTTTCACATAAAGTCATAGTTCGTGAAGAGATGACCGTTGTAAAGAATTTCACTAGTCTTAGAAAAGAAGACACTAAATCAACGCTACTATCAGGAGAGACATTGTCACTATCACTAGATAAATTCTCATAACCACCTTAAAATTTCTCTTCCAAAAATTTTAAATCTATTTTACCATCACCATGTTTTGATTTGTATAATCATCAAATTTATAACTCACCACTCATAATTTGTGTCTTTTCAATCACTTTTCACAAAGAATCACAATCTGTAATAACTACCATACATAAATTAACAAATAAAAAAAGGTGAAAGAGTAAAAAGAGAAAATAACTGAGCACAAAATAGGAAACTAATATAACAAGCATATATTCTTCACTAGAGTTTGGAGAAGACAAAGTGAAAAGTAATAAAAGAAAGTGAGAAAGCATGAAAACTTTATAAATAAATGCCAAAGAAAAAAGATGTGGCTGTCAGGACTCCTGATGTTTCATTAAAAGTTATAGCTACTAGAGCCTGAAATCTTAGGCCTTTAAAGTTAAAGGTGGGGGTGTGAACCCAACATTAATAGTCCATCTGAGGATTTTTTACCCCAGTGCCACCTTTTGAAAAAAAAATCCCAAAATACCCTATTTTGAAAATTATTTACCAATATGCCCCCTTTCTTGTATGGGCTCGTCCATTCATTGGACCAACTACCTAAGCCCACTACATGCTCGCCCATTGAAAGGACGAGCTAGTGGAGATTATTTAGGAAGCATGAGCTCGTCCATTGGAAGGACGAGCGTGTGTTAGTTTTGATTTTTTTATTTTTTTTTTCTGAATTATATTTATGTATTATTGGATTTATTTATTAAAACATTTAATATTTATTTATTATAATTAATAATAAAATAATAATATAAAATTTAATAAATAATAAAATTTTATTTTTTTTAATTCTTAATTTTATGTATATTTATTTTTTAATACATTTTTTATTTATTTATTTATGAATTGTAAATAATAAAATTACTAATGTTTATTTTTATAAATAATAAAATTTTATATATTAAAAATACTCATCAATAAAAAAAATTTACTTAATAAAAAAATTTTTATTAAAAATATTTCATAATTTAATTTTTTATTCATGGGTATTTAATAATTTAATTTTTATTAAGTAATTTTTTTTTTATTGATGAGTATTTTTAATACATAAAATTTTATTATTTATAAAAATAAACATTAGTAATTTTATTATTTACAATTCATAAATAAATAAATAAAAAATGTATTAAAAAATAAATATACATAAAATTAAGAATTAAAAAAAATAAAATTTTATTATTTATTAAATTTTATATTATTATTTTATTATTAATTATAATAAATAAATATTAAATGTTTTAATAAATAAAATCCAATAATACATAAATATAATTCAGAAAAAAAAAAAAAAAATCAAAACTAACACACGCTCGTCCTTCCAATGGACGAGCTCATGCTTCCTAAATAATCTCCACTAGCTCGTCCTTCCAATGGGCGAGCATGTAGTGGGTTTAGGTAGTTGGTCCAATGAATGGACGAGCCCATACAAAAAAGGGGGCATATTGGTAAATAATTTTCAAAATGGGGTATTTTGGGATTTTTTTTTTCAAAAAGGGGCACTGGGGTAAAAAATCCTCCATCTGAAGTCATAACTAGTTGTTATAATGAGTTTGGCATACATAAAGTTAGCTAGTTTAATAACCTTTATAACCATTAATCATAGGAAATGGAACATTAGTTAATAGTCATCATGGCTATTACAAATGTTACACTCAAATGGAAAAAAATGACATTGATTGACATTAATACAATAATGGCCATCACCACTGGGAAAAGGAGGAAACAAAGCTATAAAAGGGAGAGGGATAATAGAGACAAAGGGAGAGAAATAAATAAAGACATAAATTAGGACTGGGTGTCTATAGAAAAAATAAAAAGTTACCTAGTCACCAAATTCTTTGCATACTCATGAATTCAAAGATTGATTTCAAGACCTTATGCTTAAAGAATCCACATCAATTTCAAACATTATTTTCAAGAAACAACACAATAATACATTGAGTAATAATTCTAGGTACAATAATAATGAATAACAAATTCAAAAAAGAAGACAAATATTATTTAACATTTTAATGAATGACAATAACATAAGCCTCCTCTGGCATTGGACTAGTGAATTATTTCACAGTTGCTTCAAATCCAACAATGTTGAAAATCCATATCATGCTGCATATACATAAATATATATATATATTGAAACATAGATCCTTAACTTAAACAATGTCACAGCCAAAATTGTCACGCCATTCAAGCAACTTAAGAGTAGCTGCATAATGTGCCAATGCACCAACCACAACTAAAACATGAAATATTTGATGACTGTGTCCTGCCAAATCAAACCAACCAGGCTTCCATCGTTCCGGTATCCGCGTCACGTAGAACAATGTTCCAATCAAGTAAGAAAATGCCATGGCACATTCGTACGCTAGTGTAATATTGCGCCGAGGATTTGCCCAATTCACAATACACGCATGAACTGCAGGCACAATGCCGAAAAGTCCCATCGAACAGAACAACATAGCACGAAAGGCGCGGTGTTTTCCAGTAGAAAGCGTCGGAGAAAGCAGTGTTATTATAGTGAATAGTCCCATGGCTGTAATACCAGCTAGGTAGAGGAGTTGCCAATGAGGTTGGCATAGGAAAACATAGTAAATCTGAGGGAAAAATGAAGTTATGATCATGACAGCGATACCGCAGTAGTCGAGTCTTAACAGAAACAGGTTTAAGTCATGGGAGTGACATGAGAAAAGGTGACAGATACTGCTTGAGAGGAGACAGAACATAGAACCACCTAGGAAAACAAAGAATGGCCATCTTGCTATAACAAATTCTAAAGCTTCAACTTCCATTTTCAATGGTAGTTGATTTTTTAGATCAAACAGTAACGCCACGCCCTGCATAATCTTACATTGTTAGAAGCCGATTTCGTTTATTTCGTCGGTAACTCATTTGTTTAGCATGAGCAGACTTACCAGGAAATCTTTGATGGTATCAGATACATTTTTTTCAGCACCTGAAGAGAGAGACCTATGTAAATGAAAAAAAATTTAAGCAAAATTAGTTGAAGATTATGGTAAAAGAACACTCTTATTAGTAGGGTTGACAAAACAGCCCGGGCCGTCAGACATGTCCGTTTTGTCTGCATTTTTTCACGAAGAGTGTCAAGGTTTTAGACCTGCATCCTTTAATATGTCCGCCATAGCCCTTTCCATTTTTTTGCTGGCACGAACTTTTACGTATAATTTTATAATTTTTAAACCTAAAGGGTTCGATGCTCACGGGCCTATCTTACTCTGTCCTCACTTTTATAATAAAAGGCAGAGCATGGTTTTAGACCCGTACCCTAAAAAATGTCCGCTCCGCTCAATTTTTTTTTTTAGCTTTTGTAGAATAGATTTAAATGGGGAGGCATACCCATTTGCCAGAAAGTTCACCTAACATAAATTATGATCAAAAGTGACTAATACAAAAAAGACAAAAAGAAAGTAGAAGCTAAAGCTAACTTGTTAATTCATAGAAGAGATTTTGAAAAAATGCAATTTTTCTGAGGGCCCTTGTTCAAATTAATTACCTGTCCACAACTAACAGCATTTAGAAAGTTTGTTAATTGATACATATCAACTAGACGGTTACCTAACTTGAATTTAAACAAATTCTAGAAGATCTAGTTGTTATTGTTAATTAAATTAATTTATTAAGTGAGTTTAGAAGAGTTAAATAATGGTAGATTCACATTTCAATATGTATTTGTAGGTTTCTTTATTATGAAAATTCTACACAGCACCAACAAGAGCTGGTAACAGATGGCATATCCTTTCAAAGAAATGTTGAGGAAGAATTGGATCTCTAACTTTCATTTCTCAATAAAACACGAACACGACGCAGACACCACATCGAACATGACACTGATACTGATATAAATAAATAAATAAAACTAAATTATAAATGCCGGTGTCCAATCCACGCTCTCTGGGACACATGGATCATAATTTATAAATAGAAAATAAAAAACTGAATACATAACAATAGAGTACCTTGTAAATTGTTGCAAGAGATCAACAACATGAGGCTTCATCAAATTGGCCAAGGTCAATCCAAGAAAGAGAATAAACCCAAGTAAATGTCTGAAAGAGGATCAAAACAAATCAACATAAAAAACAGAGAGAAAAATTCACAGATCTCGATCAAAAGAGAAGAAATCTTACGTCCAAACATTCAACGTTTCATTATGCCAACGAAAGAGACTGAAGAAAGCTTCTTTAAGAGGCCAATTAGCTCTATAATAACGTAAAATATATTCATTATCCTTCATATAATTGGGAAGCTCCCAAAACGACACGAGAGGAAACCGTTTTGCTTTGTTCCGATCATGGTGATGCGACATCTTGTTATTGTTATTGTTTGTAAACGACAACGTTTCATCAGTTTCTTTGGCTTTTCTCTTTACAACACTTTTGGTGGCACAATAATTCATTTCTCTTAGCGAAAGAAAAGAGAAGATGAGAAAAAAAATGAAAAAATGTTACAACATATATTTGTGTATGTGTGTGTGTGAGTTGTTGTGTGGCTAATTGTTGATGATGGAGTAATGAGGGCTGCACTGCACCAACTGCAAGCATTTAAGGGATACTCTTTCCGTATGGTTTGGCACTATGTTTGTGGGGTTTGTTAAATTATGACTCAAACTTTATGATAGCTCAAATAAACAGGTTTCATTTTTGTTTGCTTTCATGTGAGACTCATATCATATATATACATATTTATAATGAAATCTATCATCATCTCACACGTGTGTGGTAGTAGACAAAGGTAAAATAAACATCATAGAAATGTGACTATGGTGACTTAATTTCATATCTTTATGATTTTTCAAATACATTAAGAAATTGTTTAATTAGTAGTATTGTTTATATTGAAGTATTTTATTTATCATTATTTTTTAATATAAAGAAAACTATTATTAAGGGTGAGAATAGAGTAGGGTGAATTAGGCTTTGTAAAGGTTAGGTTTGATTGTTAAAAAGTCAAAGCATTTAGTTTGTCCTAAATTTATTTTTAGACTTGAATTTGTCAATTTCAAAAGTTTGATCGGTTTATTAGTGTTCTTAAAAGTTTATTTTGTTTTAATATATGAAGACTAACAATGTCAATTCAATTATACAATATATCAATTGATATATTTTTTATGGTTTATGCATTTTAACTGTGTTTGAAGATTAACTTGTCGTTTGATAATATTTATGCTAATAAATTTATTTAAACATGATTTACAAATGATAATCTATCTTTTAAAAATGCTTATGAATGTATTAAGAGGAGTCATATTGAGCATTCTTAGACAAAATTCATATAACATTCTTATATATCACCTGTTAAGTCATTAGTGATTTGGAAGCTAATGCATAATGTTATTGCAATAGAAGGAAATCTGATTCAAAGGGTAATGGATATGGTTTCGATGTGCTCTCTCATTAATCATGATGTGGAAACTACTGACCATTTATTTCTTAAATGCAGGTACACCTTACTTCTTTTTTTTAATTTTTACATTTAATAGAGTGGTTGTTTGACATGAACATTAATAGAACTAATCATGAAAGCTTATTCGAACTTGTTAGTAGAAGTTTGAGCTCTCAAATTCAGAATTTAATCATGACTCTCATCTTAATAATTAATTCAAAAATTTGGTAGACAAGAAATGATATCAAATTTCATATTTTTAAAATTGACTTTGATATAGACATTCTTCATGTTGAACAATTGATATATATGACATTTACTTCTTTCAAGTGGTTCATATACTCTTCAATTCATGACTTTATAATTATTAAATATTTTGACATCAAATGTCAATCTCCTTTCACACCTAGAATTATACAAGTTAATTGGTGTTCTTAAAATTCTGGTATATTAGTGTTCTTAAAAGTTTATTTTATTTGAATATATGCACACTGACAAGGTCGCTTCAATTATTCAATATACCAATTGAAACATTTTTTTATGACTTATCCATTTTGACTCTTGTTGAAGAAAATTTGAAAATTAACTTATTTTTTTATAATACTTCTGTTGATAATAAACTCATTTGAACAGAATTTACAAATGACGATCTATCTTTTAAAGATCTATCTTTTAAAGATGCTTATGAATGTATCAAGAGAAGTCTCATTGAGCTTTCTTAGGAAAAATTTATTTTGCATCCTTACATACCACCTGTTAAGTCATTAGTGACTTGGAAGCTAATGCTTAATGTTATTGTAGTAGAAGAAAACCTGATTCGAATAGGAATGTATATGCTTTCGAGGTGTTATCTCTACAATCATGATGTGGAAGCTACTGACCACTTATTTGTTAGATGCAGATACACCTTACTGTTTTTGGCATTTAATGAAATGATTGTTTGGCATGAACATTGATAGAACTAATCACAAAAGCTTATTCAAACTTGCTAGTAGAAATTTGAGCTCTCAAATTCAGAATTTGATCATGACTCTCATCTTAATAATTCATTCAAAAACTTGGTACACGAGAAATGATATTATATTTCATATTAATAAAATTGAATTTTATAGACACATTCTTCATGTTAAATAATTGGTTTATATGACATTTACTTATTTCAAGTGGTTCATGTACTCTTTAATTCACGAGTTTATAATTATTACATATTTTTGACATCAAATATTGATCTTCTCCCGCACATAGAATCATACAAGTTAATTGGTGTATTTCTAGTCATAATTGAATTAAGTGTAACAATAATGGAGATTCGAGAAGAAATTCTAGAATTTATTGGTGGCGTATTTAGGGATGATTTAGAAACATTTTTGGGAGCTTTCTTAACTAAGACGAAGTTTACACCTCCTTTCAATTTGAATTGTATGAATTCATGCTTGCTATCGAATATACTAATAGGAGGTATTTGAGAAATTTATGGCTTGACATTGGCTCAATGTCGGTGATTCGTGCATTTTTTAATATAAATATTGTATGTTGATATCTTTTAATTAAATAGAAAAATACTTTACACAATATACATATACTTATATTTAAAATATTTCATATTTATAGAGAGGAAAATGCATGTGTAAATAAATTAATTAATATAAAAATTTTTTTCGTTCCTTATGATATTCGGTAGGATTATCGGTGCTTTTGGAAAAAAAAATTGAGAGATAGAATAATCATGTTCAATTATTATTTATTTGATAGGTTAAGTTTTATGTCCCTCATCATTTTTTTATTCAATTATTTATCTTTATTAAAAAGTAAATAAATAAAAATAATAATTAAACTAAATGTTTGTTTGCGTTGGTTTATCTCAATTTATCTTATAAGATACATTTTGTGAATTACTTATTTAAGAGAATATTTTGAAACAATTTATAACATTTTTTACAAATTTTTTAAACTTATTTTTATAAGTTTTTAAGAATAATTAAAATTTTTAAATTTTAATTTAAAGAATAAAATATAATATAATAATAATAAAATTATTTATAGTTATATAAATAGATCAATTTAATAACTTAAAAGATTTATTTATAGTTTCTGATCTAACTTTTTTAAGTTAATATGTTTCTAAAAAAGTTTAGACTTCTTTTATATAAAAGAAATGTTGTCTAAATTGAATTTGTGTAATTTAAATAAACTCCTATTAGTTAATCCAATCACTCAATATTATATCTTGACTTTTAAAATAGTCTTTGTTTCCTTTAAGAAAAGCTATTATCATTTTGAAGCAAAAATAAATTGATAAGGTTACCAAATATTTGAAATAGAGGAAGTAGTAGTTAATATCCGATACGTCAAAGATTCTATTTATCTTGTTGACCAAGAAAAATAATTTATACTTTCAATTAATTTTGACTAATTAAAATATCATACATTAGTTTTTACTCTTTCAGATGCTATAAGAAAAAAGAAATTATGGAGGGAAAAGAAAAACGTTATCGATGTATTGTCTAATCTACCAACCTTCACCTATCTTTTTTTTTTTTTTCTTTTCAAATCAATGAATAAACTTGTAGTATGCGACTAAACCATAGGTTTCGTAAATAAATCAAAATGAGTAAACCATAAATCACATTTGGATAATTTTAAATCACGTTTTATTTTGTTTGTTATACTTCAAATTCAAAATGACTAGATTCTCTCAAAGAGGCAAAGTACTCATAAAATGGATAACATTATTTTTTGTCATTACATTAATTTATTAATTTATGCACTTGTTTAAGGAATATAATTTAAAAGATAATAGAAGAGAGTATAATTGTGTTTGATGATAAAATCAAAGAACTAATGAAAGTATACTATGATCTTTTCATGTGGATGTATACTTTATTGAACTTGACTTTAACATTTTTGTTTATATTTGTTTATAGAAGTTGTATTTATGCGAGAAGAAAACATTGATACTGTGATTGAGACGTTTGAAAAAGAGAGTCTTTCGATTTGGTGTATGGTAAAAATGATGAGTCGCGTTGTGTTCGCACGTGTTTTTCGAGCGGACAACCTCTAATCTCCCGACGCGGGTTTGCTTACAGGACCGGCCAAACTAGTCTCAGGACACTTGGCACTGGATGTGCGAATTTGTGGTAGGCTTGATAGTTTTTTGGATGTGCGTATGTTGAAGTTAAGTAAGTAACTATAATGACGCTTCTACTCAAATAAAAACAAAGAAAAAGGGAAATGACATGAAAGTAAAGGCGTTGTTTTCGTAGCATAAAAAAACTTGGTAAATTTAACTCAAATGGATAAATACAAGTGGACGTGTTTGTACATTTTGTAAGGAATGAAAAACTCTTTTCTCTCAATGTGCGGTACTCAGAGTGTTTTTCTTACAATGTTGTCCAAAAAACGCCCTTTTCTTGGAGTCGGGCTTTGCTTTATATAGATCAGTGAAATAACCGTCAGGTTGCTTCTGGTGCTGCCACGTGTCGGCCCACTACTTTGGTAACCTTCCCATGTTCTCCTTTTTCAAATCCATTTCCCGCCAAGCAAAGAACCCCTTCGTTCGCTGCCCCTTCGTCGATCTGGTCGACGTCACATGTCCAAGTCAACACATGCATCTTCTCATGCGCTGTCGGCTTCGGATGCCTTTCCTTCTTCCTCTACTTTCCTGTCGACTTCGACCCCTTTCCCTGTCAATAATTTTGAGTTGGTTTTTCTTCAGTCAACAAGATGTCCCACCAAAACCCAGTTCTCGACAGAGAATCTTGTCGACTGAGAGACTTGGTGTTTCTAGACGTCCAACAGTTTGTCGGCGTATTTGCGCCATCATTGCCTCCTGTCAAATCAGCCATGTGTCAGTCGCCTCCTGACGTGATGATGGCGCCTTTCTGCGCCGTAGTTTTTAAGGATTTTAATCATTTTGCCCACTTTCCCACGTCAAAACCAACTCCCACTCATTAATCTTCTTTGAGGGAGAAACTAAAAAGCCTTCGAGCCTCTTCGTTGCCAGCAAGTTCAACT